AAGATAGTCAGAGAGCTGAGAGAGTATGAGTTTTTCTATGATTTTTGAGAGAAAGGAGAGGTTGCTGACGGGGCGGTAATTCTTGAGTGTGTTTGGATCAAGTGAGGGTTTCTTTAGGAGTGGCAGGACTATCGACCGTTTAAAAATGGGAGGGAAGATGCCAGAGAGAATCGAATAATTTATGATGGAGGTGAGTGCTGGGAGGAGGACGTCAAGGCATTCTACAAGCAGTGGGACGGGGATCGGATCGAGGGCACATGACTTGGGAGCAGACCTGATGATTACCCGCCTCACCTCATCCTCAGTCAGAGGCAGGAATCTATCAAATGATTCTGTCTGACTAACGTCCTCCAAGAACGGTGAGGAAGGTGTAGGGGTCGCACTGTCTAGCTCCTCCCTGATCGTTTGCACCCTGGTGATGAAAAAGTCCGCAAAGGCTTCAGGGAGTTGCTCTGGTGCAATGTCGGTAGGGAGGGTGAAATTCTTGCTGTTGCCAAGGAGACGGTTACTAGCGCTGAACAACGCCTTGGTTGTTGCACATGATTCGACCATTGCTCCAGTAGTCATCCTTTGCCCTCTGTACAATCTCTGCCACCGCCTCTTTCGCTATCCAAAAGATCTGTCTGTCGACACTCAGTCCAGTCTTTACCCAGCGTCTTTCAGCGCGTCTTCGCACGAATTTTGCCAGACGGAGTTGGTCACTAACGCCTGCATACCATGGCGACGAGCGACCGTCGGGACACGTGGCACCATGGGAGTGGCGTGCTCGTCCAAGAGTGCTCGGAGGCCATCGTCCAGATGCTGAGCGCTGAGCTCAGCACCTAGCCCTTGAAGCATTGTCTTAATGCCGGCTTTGAAGGCTGCTCTGTCTATAGCGTTTATGTCACGCACGGTCCTGTAGACAGGTGGGTTCTTTGGGGGAACTACGTAGAGTGTAGTGAGTTCTTCTTGTGTCATGGAAACTTATGTTTCAAAAATAAAATTTATTTTCTTTGATGACATCATCATCGTCAGTTTCACGAATCTCTTTTTACGGAAGTAAAACCACAATACCGTACTTAACCTAATAATTATTTGTAAGGTGGCTGCGTTCTACAAAGGTTTTTTTTTGCCAATTGTAAATCTCAGATCTAAGATAAAGATTTTCTTGAACAACAAAACATCCCCAAATTGCTACTTACAAATGACGAATGACTTTGGAAATCAGCATGCTCTTCATGATTTACCGAATACTTAAACGAATGAATTCTCAGAGTTAACGGCGAAAACTAAGCTTGACTTCGACATGTAGTACATCGATGTGAAGGAATTCAAGCCACTTTTTAAAAAAAAGTTCCCATATCTTTAATCAATTTATCAATTAATAAAAAAAAAAAAATATATTTATATACAAAACGTTTGATAATTTTAATGAAAAACAAAAAGAAAGTTTTTATTTCAGTTTATTTATGAACAATATTTCTTTTCTTTTTTTGATTTCAGATGTCTAGATTTGGTAAGTTCTTTAAGCTTTAGCCATTCAACTAATTAAGAGCACTTAACTTTTTTTTAAAAAAATCCTTTGTGCTGAGTATTAGAATGAGCAATAGATACTATGTGTTTTTTTCAAAATTTGGGGATGTAATCCTATACAGTCGCCCCTCGCCCCTTCACGTTCCCACTTTCGCGGCCTCACTTTATCGCGTTTAATAAAGAAGTGTGTTCATTAAAATGTTGATCGAGGCAGTGCACATGATATAGCACTCGCTTGGTTCCCTTTTCAATTACACACGACTGCATTACTATTAATGTCATGCACGTACGGAATGTAGACTTACTTATTCCAACACCCCCAGAGGGTCTAAAATTGTCCATAACTGTATTTAAAGGTTTTCTTTGCTCTAACCTAAAAAATATTTGATTTATAAATAAAGACTCCTACTTCGCGGTGTCGAGATGCGAGTCTCCTGAATGGCCAAGTCTTTCACTTCATTCCGTTCGGTAGTACATCAGACAGTAACAGTCATCAATGCAACAAACATCAACCAGTTTGATGCAAACAAACATTTATTTAACCACAATTCCCAAACTATGGTTGATACTTAATTTCTGAGAAACAGTCAAATCTTTTCAGCACAACACTTAGCAATATTCA